AACAACCCACTGTGCTCAGGACCCTCTCACTCATCTCCTATACTGCACATGTTTTTCACCGGAATGACTCCAAAATTTAAAGGCAGCCTGACAGCCCGATATCGACACAGATGTCAATGGAGTTGAAGATTGAACGATCAATTCTTGGTTGTTTGTTCAAAACCAACTTCCCCAATTTTCGTGGAGGCATCAATACGACAGTCATCGTCTCATCGGTCGCTGTTCAGAAAGAAGATTAAAAAACCGTCAGAAGTAATATTGTGATTTATTATTGTAATATTTGTTCATAGACCTTAGTGGAATTATTTTTTATATGTTGGCGTTACAATAAAGAATTCTCGAGCGGCCAATCGGTGATTTGAATTTTGCGTCAGTTATTACTAAGAGTTTCTGAAAAACTTCAAGGAACAGCGTGAGCCCGAGCGTAGCAAGAGCTGGGCATTACCGGTTCACCAGACGTGGCTGACAGTTTCTGACGGTAGAAACAGATTCTGACGGATTTAGATAGCTGGTAACAGTTTGGATAGTCACCGTTCATCTTTCCTGGTGCCGGCCAAGTCCTCTTTGAACAAGCAATATCTGGAACCTATTTTGGAATTGGGTGAAGTTCAACAATGCCTGGGTCAAAGAAGGGACAGATTGTCTTGGATGCAAACAGGAAAGTAAGTCATGGTGACTTGTCTGTTAATTGTAATGATGTGTCTGATGTTAAACATGATATGGTTGATGTTACTGTTTCGCCGTTCAGGGAAAATAGGAACATCAAACTCCCTAAATCTGAACAACGGTGTTTCGATGGAAACCCGGCTGATTATTTACAATTTGTAAAGTAGTTTGTGATCATGCTGAGTGGTTTTCTATTAAGTGATGAATTGAAATTGATGAATTTGATGAAATATTGCACTGGAGATGCTTCAAGAGCTATACAGTGCTGTAAGCTCATGCACCCTAATGAGGGATACGCTGAGGCTATGAGCATATTACGTCAAAGGTTTGGAAGACCTTCAATGATTGTAAGGAACGTATTCGAAGCTGTCAAAGGTAACGGCAGTCAACTTCACGATGACTCCAAGGCACTTACTGAGTTTATGGATAATCTTATGACCTATAAGAATACCTTGATCTCAACGAATTTCATGAGTGACATCAACCCGAGTTTTATACTAGAAGTAATAGCAAGACGCCTACCTACTCGACTGCGAAACAAGTGGGTGAAGATAAGCTCCCGTATGGAGGATGAGGGTATCGAGCCAAAGTTTGATGATATCCTGAAACTGGTAAATACTAGTGTCAATCAATTTATGAGCAAGTTCGCCAGTCTGTTAGATCTCACCCCTAGAATAGAGCAGTCTGAGGGTAAAACGCAATCATTGATGACGAATAGGCCTCAGAGAGGTGGATATCGAGAAGGCTCCATGATGTCTAGTAATGCATATAGACCTAGTGAGTGTAACAGGTTTCGTAGTACATCCTCAACAGATAAGATGCAAGACAAACACGGTTGTGTTTTACACGTTTGCAAGATGTGCATACAAAGGTGAACTGTGAACCAGTGAGCAAGTTCAGTGATAAGCTAAGTGTAAACTCCAGGCCTGACTCCGAATTTTGTGACGATAACGGTGCGGTGAAGAAGTCTGTAGTTGCAACTGGTAAGCCATTGTTGAATAGAGTGTCACAGAAAAGAGTTACTGCTTTAGAGTGGACTTCTCACCCCACAAGTTTACAAAGTATTACTATTCAGAGTGAAGATATAGAGCCTTTAAGGATTTGTGAGGAGGAACCAAAATTGTCTACTTCTGTTATTAAAGAGTTTGAAATTGATGAAGTCGATTCGTGATAATGATCATGATACTTCACAGTTGTCTTTGGTTGTTCATGATGAGATGAGAGATATGCGTACTCCTGCTAAGTTGAACAAAGGTTCTGTACAAGTTAAAAGTGAAGTAAATATAAATGCAGGTGCAGTTGCAGAAGGCATGCATACTTGTGAGACCGTCAGTGTAAGTGATCTGCATGTAGCCTACCTATCATCAGATGCTAGTGCTAAACCTGAGCTGATAGTAAAAGACAGCAGTGGTGGTGGTCTTGCAGGTAGACAAATTTCTGAAAGCCGAGCAACAACAGCTTTTGATCCACCGCTAACTTCATCAACTAATATCAATCAGTCGTCGTTGCTGCTGCCATCCACTATGAAACAGACGCCCATCAACTCAAGTATCTTGTGCAATGACTATGCTAGTATCACTTCGTTTGAAAGGACGAATAACAAGGGTCAGTTTAGTGAGGATAAGCCAAATGTAAACGAGAGAGTAATTGTTAAATTAACTTGCACGAATAAAGGCATTTCTAGTTTCAAGTCACTATTTGAATGTTATTATCTTTGGTGTAAATTACTCTGTTTCTACACTTGGTTTGTTCGTCATCTATATTCTACGATACAATGACACGGGCGTGTTACCGTTCAGATTTGAGGATATAGCTGATAGAAGGAAGTTTGCAGATGAACTCTGCAACGATTTTCCAACCTAGGGCGTCAACCTGAGAAAGGTTGTAGGCGTACTGCTGTAAGTCCTACAATTCTTCAAAGGGTAGCGCATCAGTGAGCTGTCCAATGTGCTTGGTGTGTGATTTTGTACATATGTTCACATTGTATATACTGGAATGGTATCATCTGTCATCTAGCTGTTAGTAATTCTGTTTGTGTCCGGACGACTTCCACTTGGATAATCAACCTGAGAAGGAATGTAGGCGTACTGCTGTAAGTCCTGCGATTCTTGAAAGGAATTCCACCAAGACATGATCGGCGAGGTTGTTTGTACTGTTTGTATATACGTGTGGTGTGTCATATCAATTGGTGTTTTGGATTGATTGTGTTTACTTGTTGTTTTCGTACCTTGTTTTATTACATAATTTTGTTAAAATTTTCGTCGTGATTACTTCTGAAGTTGTGTCCACTCTTCTACATCCATGAATGAATTGATTGATGCTAAGGACAGCAGATGGGGCGTATACGCCGGGGAGGCTAGGCTATTGCTGAGAATAAAATGCATACAGAGATAATTGTTTGGTGCGGTCCGACACGCCGGGGAGAAAGAGTGTAAACGACTGAGGCGCGCATGCGTCACCGCTACTAGAACTGAGGCAGAATTAGTGACAAGCGATTTCAGTGGTAATTGGTAGTGAGTAGATAATAGGATGAGCGTAGAGTATCGTGAGATACTGCCATGGTCACGTTGCATTCTGCAAGAGTCATTCTAGCAAGTGGCGATTGTGTTGCAAGATGTCAAGAGGAGGTCTCTATCTGGAGGCGCAGGTCGTCAGCGATGTGTGAGATTGGGCTGTGGGTATGCTTGTGGTGTGTTGGCTTTTCTGTTTGTTTTCCATTTCAGCTCTGTCCGTGTGACCCAGGTTCTCGCAACGGCATTCAAGTGAACGTGTATTGTTCTTGATTGCAAAACGAATGGATCCTTATTTCGCCAGGGAGTGTCAATGGAGTTGAAGATTGAACGATCAATTCTTGGTTGTTTGCTCAAAACCAACTTCCCCAATTTTCGCGGAGGCATCAATACGACAGTCATCGTCTCATCGGTCGCTGTTCAGAAAGAAGATTAAAAAACCGTCAGAAGTAATATTGTGATTTATTATTGTAATATTTGTTCATAGACCTTAGTGGAATTATTTTTTATATGTTGGCGTTACAATAAAGAATTCTCGAGCGGCCAATCGGTGATTTGAATTTTGCGTCAGTTATTACTAAGAGTTTCTGAAAAACTTCAAGGAACAGCGTGAGCCCGAGCGTAGCAAGAGCTGGGCATTATCGGTTTACGAGACGTGGCTGACATCAGGTGAGTCCGAGGGGACAAGAATCTCACCAATAAAGGCTCACACGGATCTATACGTCACGATTAGTCACGACTTGATAACTAGAGAAAATGTTAGCGCGGCGGTAGTCTCGAAGTTTCCGATATATTTACGCAGCCACCGGAACTCTTCCTAGAATCGCTACTGCGTTGACGACTTCTCTCTATGTCTTTGGTGGGGTCAAGACTGGAAAAAATGCATCCAGACAGCCATTTCATGTCTCAAGATGCACTGGTTAATTCCAGAAATATTTCAAAGAAAGTTGGTTCGCACAGCCATCAGCAGAACCAGTTAATCAGATTTTAATTTACTAAACAGCATGAAACTATTTTCTTTATTATACCGTTTAATATTGTAAACAGCGACTGTGGGTCTGATTTGTAGTTCCCCTTCCTTCACACTAAGTCAAAACGCTCCAAAGGAAATATCAGCGGAATTCAAACACCAGGGAGGAACTTCGTCACTGTGGAGTATTTATGAAAAATAACAAAAAGGCTTTGTTCCAGACGATGTGTGAACACATGGAGCAGAGATTTTCAGGATTCAGAAATATTTCGTCTTTGTGTGGGAGTCACACGTACAGTAATGGCCTGAAGTACGTCGTGTGACGTACTGTCCATGCTTATGAATATAGTGTGGACCCTGCACAGCTCTTCTTTGGTTCTCTCTACAGTTGTGCAAAGTTTCATCGAAAGCCATCAAAACAAATGCGCGAGTTCATGAAATGATCATTTGGTAAGATTTCATGATTAGGAGAATAGGAAATGTGGAAGAGTTTAGGCACTTTTGTGAATATAAAATCAGATTGCTCTCTAATTATATCAGGACTCAGTTACAAAACTCTTTTGAAACTGACTTTTACAAGTGGTGGTGCCAACGTCTTCAACTAATTGCTTCAAGTGGGGTCCAGATAAGCACAGAAATACATTAAATTGATCAACATATGCCTTGAGAATTCTATTCTAAACCGAAACATGTGAGTCATTGAGCTGAAAGCTTTCTACGAGGAAGTTATTGGAGAGGCGAGTACAAAGAAATCAAATTGGTTTATAGAAGTTCGTTAAAGAGATATTGGCTATTGAAGTGAAAAGAGATTATCGTTTCCCGCTGATAAATACTAATCAGATAATGTGGATACCTGCTCTTTCACAACTCACTATGGCTCTCTTACGTAGTGAGCTTCCGCTAAGATATTTTCGAGTGTGGTTTGTTATAACGCTTCAGATGCTTTCGAAATTATGTTAGGACAACAAGGGCGGAATTTCATAGTTTTATGAGAATCATGATTACATCGACATTTGTAAAACACATTTTCATAACACTAGCTACTGTTTACGTATTAGATACTGCCGTTGCTTCTTCGCCAAATTTCATTACATATGAGGAGCTATTAAACTATCTTTACAGCAAGTTGACAATTTATATTGGCTAATTTTTTCCTCAGGAGAAGGTTACATAAATTCCCCGCTTGTTAGAAGAGCCATGAGTTTTGTTGATCGTAGAATTTTCGTTACTCAGAAACCATACGAAGACAGTTCACAGCCAATCGGCTATAATGTCAAAATCTTGGCACCTCATGTAGTAAGTCTGGTATCATTCTGTAAGTCAGGTTATCGTTCATTATGGCATATCGTGGAAGTGAAACATTTGACGAAAAACTTGATACATGATTTGAAATGCTTTATTCCTGATTGCCTTACTCCACAATGCATCAAAGCATGTGTAGGAGTTGTCATTCATTGGATTGATGGATTTTAGGCAGAAATACTTGCTTAGCTGACTGAACATCCTACTCCAGTAACAAGAGTAACATGTAGTATTCAAAGTCACAAGTATTCTGACCGGCTAGCATTTTCTAAAAGGATGATTTTCAGCACTCAGTAGTCACTGCTGAAATAGCACATTGTGAAATGGCTATGAGGTTGTGGACTTTTTATTTCATAAAATCTGGCACCCTACTCGAAAAGCCGGTTGCATTTGGCTTGATAATTTATTTGTTATGAAATTCTTAGTCAGACGATGTTAATTTTACTCATTTGTAAGGATACATCTCACTTTAGTGAAAATTAAAATGATGAGTTTAGTTCTCGCATTAACAAACCAAAGTACTAACTTATGTGCATCAGGCTATAAATTACGAGCGTTTCTCATCCTGTCACACAGTTATCGTAACGATTATGTGCTAGGAAAATGTACGGGATCTATGAAATTATAAAGCATATATCTGCAATCCACTCTTTGTAAACTCATAAGATATGGGGACACTTTTCCAACATTAGATGTCATTTGTAATTTTTAATCACCTTGTTTTCATGTCTTTTGATTTATCTTTATGAACAGTCAGGAGAATGATATACATACTTCTATATATTTGTATATATTTCTGGTGTTGCATTTCAACCCCTTAAATTCTAATTACGAATTTCTGTATCTGTTTTGTGATGCAGCATGCTCTTATTCTGGGAGCTTTAGAAAGCCGTCTCCTAATTAATGGGAACGTTTCTTGTATATCATGCCACAGTGGGTACTTAATGTCAATTATGGGCCTTTATGTAAGTTTGCTATTGTATTGAGTCATTGATATTGATTTCAAACCCTCTATAGCCTGTATTCACAACCATCTGATCACCTTTTGTTGCTCCGATTTGTTTGCTTACCTGAGTATTTAATATTTTTGGAATATTTTGATATTTTCTTTGTTGCGTGTACGATGCGTTATGCAAGGTGCTGAGAAAACATGTTTTATTTAAATATCACGAACTCACTGAAACCTGATCCATTAGTTGTTGTTACTTGTTCTAGGTTTTGAATGGTTAACGAGCTCCCTCACTTTAAGACGACAATTGAAGATCCCTACTACATATCAGATGCTGTTGTTGAGTGTTTCTTAGGTGAACTATTTGTAAGTTATGTAACTCTTATCTTAGCTCAAAGAATAAATAATTTCCATATCCAGATTCACTTCATTGTTACTAATGCTCGCTGTATTGTATGAATAATCTTTGAGCATTTATACAACAGACATGTGTGCTGGACATTATTATCATTATGTTATAGTTTAAAAATGAAAAGAGCTTGCATACTTGACAGTCTGATATATACTGTATGTGTAATAACACAAATACCTGTTCTCAAGCAAAGGTACAAAACAATACTGCTAACCACAACTATAGCTACAATTATTTTTCAATGTTTAGTATCTGAGGAATAATGAAGTCTTTCCTGACAAAGTCAGTTTGTACAAGTGTGGTGTGTGTACTTTGCCGCTATGAGACACGTTCGTTGAAGATGAAAGATGAGAATAGATTGCTGATTCTATTCCTTACATTTCTGTGTTAGATAGGCAATGGAGTTAGGAAGGTGGTACTGGATGAAGTGGAAAAATTATCGTTGATGTTATATGACTGAAAAATTTAGGAAATTTGTTGCTCATGCGTAGCGATCACAGTTTTTGACTAGCTGATATGGCATTGGACTGAGAAGGACTTAGAGGTAATCAAGCGTAAAACGTTACACGAATCAGTAAAATATATAGACCGATGGTTTGAGAAATTTAGGAGATGTGCAGATTTTATATCTGATATGCTTGATAAGTTACACACCCGTGGCTGTAGACTACTGATGTTAGGCTTTAAAATAATTTGCAGTGACACACGCATTATTAGTCTTTGGGAATCTCCACTAATCTTCACCTCAGTGTTCTGTTTATTCATTTCTGTCTGATGTACTGGGCTGTATTTACAAGACAGATTTTCCATACACCATTTTAGTTTCTTTGATATTTGGTGCGAATTAGGCCCTGAAAATGAATTTATTGTGCTGTCTATGAAGACTGTCTGTTACTATTGTATCATCATTACTTTTCAACAGAAAAGCATCCTGGAATTAATCAGTATCACTTTTCTCATAATCTTTTATGCAGTTAAGATTAATATAGCATTGAGTAAATCTCCATAATACATTTTCTACCTCTAGCCTATCATGCACTAAATAATACACCGAGATTTATAAATAGTTATCGCACAATTTTAAGCAAATCTTTCATCATCCTCAAAAGAAAAAAACGATTTGCATTCAGTGTCTTTCTCTAACCAAGAACTGTTTCTTCATCCTTATATGCTCTGAGTAGAACATCGGGCTTCAAGCTTGAACTTTGAAGTTTCAGTAGCACTGGTGTTATTTTTTCCTACGGCGCATGCCGAAAACCTTCGGTCTCTACTGGGCTTGCTATCATTTGAGTGAGGCTTAGGAGAGAGTCAGCAAAGAATCAAACTTGGACTTCGTGAGGAGTTGTTCGCCATTCTGAAACACTGATCTACAGACCTAAGGGACACTGTCCACTGCCACTAGATATCGAACGCGATATCTTCAGTCTACGAGGCCAAGTTAGTTGACCATCCGGGTACTTAGATCTCAAAAATCTATTATTCTTAACTATTTTCGAAAACCAATAAGGGAGGATATGTTTGGTTACCAGATATAAACAGCATCAATAGTGATTGCAAACTTGTCAGTTTCATTTCCACTATTCTGTTTGTTATGAATAACGTGATTTTTACTTATTACTTTAATTTAATAAGTTAGTTCGTGCCTTCAGGTGTCTGACTGTTTTGATAAATTATACCCTTCCATTATTTAAAGGTTATGAAACGAGGTATTGTTGCAGGAGTTGAAACTGAAAAGAGTTTGACCGATTTGAATTATGCGAACATCGAAAAATGGATTCAATCTAGTCGAATAGCGAAAGCATTCCTTTTTACCAAAGATGCACCGTATAAACTTTATACTCGCTCCGAAGAATCTTATGAAGTGCCCGATGGACCATATAGTGCTACTTTTTATAATGGAGGTGACATGGAAACTGTTAATGTGGTAAGACGATAAGCATTTTGTACAATCAGAAACTTTTTAAACGCTACCAGGTTGTTGTTGTCTTTCGTCATGATTAATTCGTGTTAACACTAATGGATTTACTTCATGACAAATATATCTTGTGAGCAAATTTATCAAATTATGTAGCACAATATTACCGTATCTATGTAATTAAGATGAATGGCATTTCAAAGCACAAATGATTTCTCATTTCTTAGAATGTCTATCAGTGATTCAGAAGTTGAACCCTCATTAAACCATGCACTTGGGTGGGGTTTCAGTTCCGGGCCGGTGTACCGGCTAAGAGGAGGTAAAAAGAAAAACTCGGAAGAGAAGGAAGGTTGAGCGTGAAGCTAACAACCACCAGGTTCCATAAAGAGAACAACATCGGCGTACTGAAATTGTAATGCCTGAAGCCCTCCCTATGTTGTACTTGAAACTTGAGGCGAGGGAGAAAATAAGGGAGAGGATATTTACAATTTCACTTATAACCCTTTCATAACCTACTCAAAATGAATATATACCCTTCGTACTATCCTCATATTTAGAAGACAAAAGGACTGAGAGAAGAAATATTTAGTTTTCGATTAGATTCTAATATATGACTCCAATATACATATATATTTAACACAACACAAAAATACCAGTCTAGTGATGCAAAGTTTGTTAACAATAATTGGTCAGTATCAACATGTCAATTAGGAATGATTATTTATACAACAATTAAAAGGTAAAAATGATTACGATAAATGGATAGCATGATAAATAATTTTTTAAAAATTGCGGAATAGTTATTAAATAAATTGTTATGTTGCTGCTGCTGAGTGCTTAATAGTAGTTTTCCCCGTCGCCAAATTGTTATGCACTCGTCGCTAAATTATTGTTATGGACTGGTCGAGAATTTAATAGTGCTGACGCAAGAAGGCGGAAATCAGAAGACCACTAGGTTTGCGATGATACTTCTATTTTCCAAACACAAGGAGAATGCAAAAGTGGTATCACACCAAAGTAAGTAAGTCAGTCAAGTCACACAAATTGTGAGAACGAAATATATATATATATATAGCAAAATATATAGCAGACATGTCAACAACCACCATATATGGATATATGTCACTAAGCAACGGACTGTCAACAAACACTCATATTATATATAATATAAGGAGAATATACATTGTTAAAGGAGACAAGTTCATACAAGTGAAATGGTCACAGATTGAGAGAGCAAACAGAAAGAGAGACCAACATATATATATATATATATATATATATATATATATATATAAATGGATACATATCATAAATAAGTGTTCTGATTCTTAACTCAATAATAATGATAATGATAACATTTGTTTAGTGCTCAGCAGTTTGCTGCATAATCTTTTATAGCTGAGACAAGGCCACTGAAACTGAAAGACATGAAAAGGCCAGCTAGCTGTCTTTGGTCACAGGCGTCTGCATTCTATCTCGCGTGCTAGGTGGTATCACAGGATGAGTAATAATGACGTTAGGAATCGGTGGAGTGCTAGGTAAGGAGGGGAGAGAATCAGTCGACGAAGATGTGAACCATCAGCTGCACCGATTAAGTTATTTAGGGTATATGTTACGCATGCCTAGCCATCTCTTTCCTTGACAGAGAATGTTAGCTGTTATAAGATCAGGTTGATAAGTAGCCAATGGCTTACTCAATCAATGAAATCCATACGAGTTAGTTTAAGCCAGCCACCATTTGGGGAGGTGTAGACTGCTATCTGGTTGGAGTCGTCAGGATGGTAAGAACCAATGGCTGCAGATATGGCTTGAAATCGTTCTCAGTTGTGGAGATGCATTCACTGTGTGTGACTTTTTATATCCAGTAAAACTCCATACTACTATTTTTCTTCCCCCAGAGTTGTGTTTACTAACTCTCTTTTAAATCTCTCTTCACTTACTCTCATCTCTTGCTTTGTGTGCTGTATGGAAGTAGAGTGGCGACTGGAACTGCTGCACATCTCTGCAAAGTTTTTTGTTGAAACCAGTTAGTCAGTCGTGTACAAGTGAGATCTTTCATGCTATTGGCTGCTAATGATATTTTCTTCTTAAATCATTCTATTGTAGTTAAAGCAACGTTTGAAAAAAACTGGTCGCCTTGTTTATCTAAAAGGAACTGAAAAAGAAGGTCAAACCTTAATGGTGATAGATCATCTGTCCAATGGTTCTTTCTATGAAAGGATATTGGCTAGTGTTCGATTGGATAAGGATGAAGTAGAAGAAGCGGAAAGAGGAGAAGAGTCAGATGGAGGAAAAGGAGAAGGGTCAGGTGGCGAAAAAGAAGTGGAAGGCCCACTGAAGGAAATCGAAGAAACATTGACACCTATACCTGTTCGACCTCCGTAAGACACACGTTTTAATATGTACCATGTCTACTTGTTTATCTTGTCGAAACAGTTAATTCTATTTATTTTCAATGGATAGACTTCATCACTAACCAACTCCATTTAAAGAATTCAATGACAATATCACCTTCTAGCTTATTCATAGCTACTGGATGGATGTCAGGAAGCCGTCTGTAATGCAAATTTGTGACTGTTGGGGTCTATCATGTCAAGGTGAATTGGATGCTTGTCGGAGACACCGCTTGGTGAAGGTAGAGCTATATAGTGTACGACTTGACGAAGTTAGAACTCATGGGTCATTGAAATCCAGTCCAAGTGACTGAAAAGTCAGCAAACTTGGTCTCATCGTACCCTGATGATCCGTGGTTCGACAGCCAGCAGTGTGGTAGCTGGTGCGAACTGATGAAGAATCTCAGACTAGTGGGAAACAGCTGTCCAGTGCTTCCTATCTTTCTCCCTAATGTTGGCATCAGACGGTTAGCAGCAATCGGCAGGAACCCTTGGACCTGTCGGTTTAATGACTGTTAACTGGCACTCACCAGCAGTCAGCAAGGCATGTCTGCAACCTTGAAGGAACCCACATCGCTTCACGAGATTCGGACCGGAGTCATGCAATGCTGCAGATAAAGGTGTTACAACTGAGCTATTTGAGCTTGGAGCTGACCTCCAGTAGGACCGCATTGGATACTTTAATTGCACGAAACCTAGGTTCAAGGCTTCCTGCCAACTGCCTCCAACTGTTTAATAAACAGTATTTCAACTACCTCAGGTTTTGTTCCATGAGGTCCGAACAGCGATTAGTGAAGTCGCCTACTGACAGCACCATATTATGCTTGCTATAATTTATCTGACTGCTAAACTTATCTCTGTGCACAACACCATTTGTGCTGTTTATCAGTCAAGTATGGGCAGGAAGCCATCAGAAGTCATCATGAATTGTGTCTAAATATTTACGTTTATTGTTAAACAAGTAAACTGGAAAGGGAGAAGGATGGATATTTCGTCAACTCTTTGGACATAATCGAGAGCACATTGATGCTCAAAGCTTCCCTGTCATTCACACATACCATTAATCAACATCTGATGTAATCGAGACATAAAGTGGACATTTGGACCCATTGAAAACCTAACAGTTTACCGATTCAGGTGATATCAAGAGACACTGAATGAAATTTTTGGTTTACAAAAGGAAACGGTGAATCAGCCTACCACAACGTGATTGCAACTGGTGAAACTGTTCCATAAATGTGTGGTTTATTGTAACATTATTATTTGTAGCTATTGAGCAAAACTCACTCATACGAAATCCAAGTCCCGGTAATCATATTCCTACATTGTGAGATGCGGCTCATCAGCTTGATGAATGGGCTTCTGACCTAAGCATTTTGGGTTTGAATGCTGGTCTATTGACTTTACTCGGAGCAGTTGAATAGTATGGTCATCTACCAGACCTTTTAATTAGGTAACTGAGCTTCTGAGTGAAAGTAAAAGTAAACTAAACATTGAAAATAAAAATTACAGGGAACGACTATTCCCTCGCGTTCCGAGTGGAACATGCGGCTTCAACAACACATCTTCACTTTGTTCTACTTTCTACTGTCCTTTTCGGCTATCCTTATTATATCACATAGTCTCTCGTCTCCACCTCTCACGATCTCCTGTATGTCACCTTTGTACCAACAAGCCACTCGTAGCTTCCTATCAGGGTACTACTTGAGCACTGAACATGCGCGCAATATCATCAGATGGCCTTCTCAGCATATACCCAACCCATCTCCATTTTCTTCTGCTGTTGATTGGTTTGTCCACATTGTTTGTTGTTGCTGATTTTTTTCTGGTCATTTCATCTTCTGTATGGAGCCACCAAGGCAGCTATTGATAAAAGTCTTTAACTTGTTTGAAATCCTTTTCGTGATGTGATAACCAAGTTTCTGACCCATATAAAAGAGCTGATTTGACATTTGTGTTCAAAATCTGAATCTTCTTCTGTATGCTGAGTGCAGGAGATTTTCAAACTGGTTTCATATCTTGCCTTTCCGTTTCTGGCAGTGACATCTTCATCCGTGCTATGTGACTGTGGTTGAAACGCTGCTTTCTAGATAAGTGAAGGAAGCCAGCCACTGTCATATCTCTCCTGTTGATGGCAGTCGGTGCTGGTTTTTGTTGCTGTTGGTTGGTTGGTTGGTTGGTTATCTTCATCACCTCCGTCTTCTCAATGATCACCTGAAGTTCTGTCTTCTCTGCGTGCTTCTTCAGACAGCTTGTTGGCTTTCGCCTGAGGGTCTTTAAGTTTGTATGTCAAACATGAATCATCCACATGCGAAATCCAGATCTTCTAGAGTTTTCTTATAGGTGGTCCGGTGTTTGCCTGTATTCTCATTCCCCATGCACAGTCTGATGCATAATCCAGTCCAGTCCTAATCCTTTCTAATCGTTAAATTAGAAGAGGTTAAGACCACGGTAGAATATGAGACTGGATAAAATGTTTCCGTATAAAGAGTTTGGGGTTGTATTGACGAATCGCCAATGCCTCCACCATACACAAATACAGGAACCTGACGCCCTTTTTACCATTTGGTCTTAACTTGAAGATAATCTTGAAAGACGACTCCGATAGATCCAGGTAGCATGAGTTCACCAATCGCTAGAGAATTGAGCTAGTAATTGTTTTGCATTGTCTTTTTGCTAACCATACACGATAATGTTCAAAGATGAGTTCGGAGAGTGTTAGCTTTGTGAGGCCAATATAACTAAATCCACATGAACACGTGAATTTATAAACACACACTGAAGTGGCGCAAAGCGGTAGTTTATCCTCCACGCATCCATTGACCATTTGTCGGCTGGAGAAATCGGTTCATAGCTCAGCTGTAAAGAAGGCTTTTCTCAGTCATCTTCACTGGCGAGTCTTCAGGATCTCAGCTTCGGTGTCACTTTTAGTATTCAACGTTAATAATTAGCATCTTCTTCCAAACCCTCTCGATTTTTTCAGACTTTTGTTTTAACTTCATATTTTTCTTAATGAATCTTGAAGAATATCCATTTTCTATGAGGACTTGTCTGAGTCGCTGCAGTTCACTGAAGGATGTCGTTTTTATTCTTGAGGATAAGGAGTGGATCAGATTCCTCTTTAATCTCAAAGCAACGCATCTATGAAAATTCGTGTATTGACCATTCCACATTGGTTTCTTATAGATTGATCTCTGAAGAGAACAATTAGATCTCCTATTTAGCAAAACATCCAAAAAATGGAATTCTGAGTTCATCTCTGATTCTGACGTGAACCAAATAGCATGATGACAGCTTTTGAACTCCTTATTTATCATTTCGATATTAGCCTTTTCATGAAATATGGCAAAAGTATCACTCGTGTATCTTTGGTACATATAAAAACTACAAATGCACAGTGCTGAAGAGCCCCAAACTGAGACGAAACAACCATGTCCAGTGCTCTTTGTTAGTTTTCAATAATCTCGTTAACTGATGTTGATTCGTGATGAAATCCGCATTGATAGTAGTGATCAATTCGTTTTATTTGCTATCCTTATTTAAAATCGAGAATTTTGGTCGCCAATATTATTATTCACCTCATTTTTGCTATTGTGTGTTTCTAATTTAGATTTGCCGATTTCGAAGATATCATTATTTCGTCGGTACAAATTAAGCACATTCCTGATGTTAAAATAATACTCCTGCTAGTCTGCATTGCTATCATGCATCTCATGCATCCCACTATTTTAATGTGATCGATGAGCACAAATTGGACATTGAATTACAAACGTTATTTCGCTTACATCCCATGTGATATTTATTGAAATTCAGAGACGTACACACTCCGTGTATATACTTCGTGTGATGATCATTGGACATCTACCACACTGTGAATGACACATTTTAATTTTTGTTTGAAAGTTTTTGCGCCAAATTACCTTGACATTCCACATTTTATTTTTCCAAGACTCATCATCATTACTACGTCATTATCTAAATCACATTTCATTTCTGATTCTTCTTCCGTTTGTTCATTATTGATTTTAGTTATTGTTTTGATCGTCAACCTATATGTGAGATCGTAACCAATCGTGTAACTTAATTGAAACATTGTCTGACTGTATTATCTTTACAAATATTCGACATATATTCAATTGATACACTTCATTGTACTAACAGTCTGTTATTGTTATTACTGTTACTATCGTTTGTTCTTCTCATTGTGATTAGTGCGTGGGTCTGCTTCAGTGGAACATCTTCAACTAGCACCACAATTGCCCACACACTTTCGATTCATCTTCATATGATCCTCTTAGTGTTATTCACGAACACCAAATCAATCGCTTCCCATCAAAGGATCCTCTAGAAAGGCTAACTAGTAAGTATCGTCATCGTATATCCTACACATGCTTTACTATTTAAGCGTGCATGGTCGTTGATCTATAGCCTCTTGGTGTCTTTGCTGGCTGCCATGTCCCATTGTGGCTTATCTCTTGTGGCCAGTCATGTGATGTTGAGCATCAAGTGAAGTGAGCACGTGTTACCCCAAGTCTTTAAACTATACAGAAATATCCAGCAACTTGACTTTGGTGTTAAAATTTGGATCCGAATGCCTTGTGCTGGGTTCTGTAGATGTTAACAACGAATTCGGCGTAATTCACAACAATTTCGAGATCCTGATCATGATTAGCTTTGGGATTGACATCCGTGATAGCTGTTGTGGTTAAAACGAATCAGGTTAGCTAGATAACTTCAATTATTTAATCAGATTACTCCATCTGACTGTAATTGGCGCTTATTGTTTGTGTTCTTGTTGGCTGGGTATCCTAACTAACTCTGTCTACTCTATGTTTATGTGAATTCTAGCCTACACTGCACTGCCTCTTATGTCTACTTTTCAGATTTTACTTGTAGATCTTCGAGTACGTGTGAGATTACAGATACATGTTCCGAGAATTCGAGATATTCTAGGCTCGTTTTTTCAGTCGGACGTATTGCTGACTTCTCTCTCCCTAATCAAAGTCCGTTCCATAATTCTGTCTACAAACAGTCGAAAATTCCATCGTTAATTTACCTGAAATTAGCCGAAATAAATTGGCTTTTGAACCTAAAACCATTACAGAATTGTGTGTTTTGAAATGTAGAGTGTAGATAGAATAGTGAATCATAAAAATTGTTTTGTATCTTTGAGTAATGAGCCAATCAACAATCAATGTATGGTTGTGGAAGAACAGTTGGGATATAAATACAATAAATGTTGTTTAAGTGTTGGTTTCAGGATTTCATCATGAGCTGACATTAGTTAGAGAACCATTGGAAAACCTGGGAGTACTGGACAGCTGTTTCGTCCTAGTTTGGGACTCTTCATCAGTACGCACCCACCGGAAGAGTCCCAAACTAGGACGAAACAGCTGTCCAGTACTCCCAGGTTTTCCAATGGTTCTTTAACTAATGTCAGCTCATGATGAAATCCTGAAATGGTGTTTATCAAATTATTGCAGACGTAAGTCATTATCTTTACTACTCGATATGCTTCGGTAGTTAGGAATCTAGCCGACCATGCGCATGGTCCGAGGTTCGAGCCCCTGCCGATGCTTGTAGTTGAAACGATGCTTCCTGGATAAATGAATGAAGTAACCTCTCCCGTTAATGGTGATTGGTTCTGGTCGTTGTTGTTGCTGGTGGTTGTTTTGTTGTCTTCCTCACCTTTGTCTTTTCTGTGCTCACCTGCAGTCCTGTTTTCGTTGCTTTTTCGGCCATTTTGTTGAAGTAGTTTCCAAATTACTTCACGGTCTACGCTACCGAAGGCCTTTTCAAAGTCGATGAAGTTGAGGTGGAGGTTTGACTGCCATTCTGTTCTTTGTTTTGTTGTAACGATGCGTAGAGTAGCACTTCGATCAGCACATGGTTTACCTTTCCTGAATCTAGCTTGTTTCGGCTGGTGGAGTTCTGTATGCAGTGCATCTTTAATTCGATGCAGGCAGGTGCGACCCAGCATTTTACCTGGTCTGGACAAAAGCATTATTCCATGCCAATCAGTTCTTGCACAGGCGTTAGTAGCTCTTCTTCAGATCAGAAGGCACTATCTCTTCTTTCAAAACCTTTTGCAGTAATTGATTAAGAACATCTGCAGTAATCCCTGAGGTGATCTTCAGTGTTTCGGGAGGATTGCCGTCGGATTCTGCTGACTTCCCGGCCAGTATTCAGTAGCTTAATCGCATTCAGGACTTCTGCCTTCGTTGGAGGAGTGGTGTCCACTGGCAGGCAGTTCCGTGCGTGCTGTTTGTGGTGGTGTTCCTGGGCGATTTGCAGGGGATAGTCGATTCAAGAGTCCTTTAAAGTGGTCAATCCATTGTTTGATCTGGTTATCCTCCTTGGTGATCACGCTCTCTTGGGCAATTTTGATTGGTTTCATCATCTGAGATGATCTCCTCGATGGATAGAGACTTGGTTATTTCATATATCGTCCTGATGTTGCTTTTGCCTGTGGCCAGCCTGTTCTACTTCAGTTTCCAGTGTGTCTTAGAATTGTCGTTTGTTTTCTCTAGCACTCTTCTTCACTTCTTTCCTCATTCACTGCAGTATAAGTTGAACTCAGCTTCTCCATCTGTTGTCCACCTTTACATTGAGTCATCTCTTCTTTCACCATCCTTCTCTCCTCGATTAGCTTCCAGGTATCCGTTAGTAGCCATTCCTTGTCTTGTTTATTCCTTTTTCCTAGAACAGCTGTACACGTTTCCTTAAATATCGCTTTCAGAGGGTTCCAGTGTTGTTACACGCAGGTTTCCTCAGTGATGTCGGGTATTGTGTCTGACTTTGCTCTGATCCGATCTGCAGTGAAGGCATCCCCCGTAGTTTTTTACTTTAGTCTCTGAATGTGGAACTTGAATTGTGCCCTGTCTCCAGTTGTTTTCATGGATTTCAGATTCATTTCTCTGAGCGACAGCCTCTTGACCCATGATGAGTTCTGTCTCCGTATTATCTGCTTCTAGTTTGGAGTCAAATCGCCCTTGAGGAATTTGATGTCACCATTTGGGATTTTGTTCATTACTGTTTGAAATTTTCCGTAAAATTCTTCTCTTGTTCCGCGTTATATGTAGCAGTGTGTGTAGCACTGGATAATTTTGACCTTCCTTCCTTCTGAGTTGAATCTTGCTGTCATGATCCTGGATAATAATTGGTTCCCACTGCATTGGAGCTTTGGCTGGAGCTGGTGACATCATGATAGGCACTCCCTCAGTGTGTTCTTGGTCGTCGTCCGGGTGACCGTAGTAGATTATCAACTCTCTCATTGACAATGTTGTCAGTCCACATCCATTCCGTCTGCTGTCGCAGATATCCAATACTTCTAATGCATATTTTCGCATCTCTTTGGCTACCTGGGCAGCCTTCTGAGCCAGCCTCGTACGTTGTACGGACATTCTACGTGCCCATTCTTACTCATGCTTTCATCGAGAGAAGACGCATCAGCTAGCTGAAGCTTTTGTATTTTTATTATATTTCCTGTGCATTGAAGTTTCTCAATACATCCCCTTTATCCGTACTTGGAACCGGCTGGGAAAGTAGCGTGTCAGTTAAATAGGCGAGGTTATATATATGTATATATATATATATACATATATATATATACATGGGACACAGGGCGTCAACAGCACGTCTCCATTTCATCCTGGTCCCTTAACTTCTTTCAGCTGGTTCTAAGATTGTCTACAAGCCTTTATCTATTCTTCATACTATCTTCTCCATGTTAGCCAGCCGGTCGTTTCTGATTTTGATTCCACTGCAGGGCCTGCCTAGTACATGATATCATTCAACGGTCTCTTTAGCGGGCATCCCATCAATCTGCATTTCTTCTGCATGCCTTTTGGTCAACCGCTTCTCGGTTGTATAACTACCACAATTCCTTGTCTCTTATCCTTTCTGGTGTGTCATAGGATCTTCAATATCGAATGGATGTTAGTGTTGGTTCAGCATCTTTATCATCTCTGTCTTCCTCATGAACACTTGAAGTCCTATCTTTGCTACCGGTGTCTCCTCTCAACTTATCAGTTTCCGCTTGTGTATCTTCGAGTTTGTGTGACATAAGAGATAAGTCGTCTGCAAAGTCTAGATCTTCTATAATGTACCTATCACTCCAACGTATTCCTGTCTTCTTGTTCCCCCACACTCTATCGCATGATTCAGCCCACCACAATTAGAAATACAGCCAGTGACAGTAGACGACAGCCTTGTCTTACGCTTCCTGTCTTCACTTCAACGGCTTCGTCAAGTTTTCTCTTATGTACTACTTGAAAAGTAGCACTGTCATTTGCATCGTCCGTTTATTCCCCTTTATGAGTTCAAATAAAACAAAAACAAATGTTTCTGCAGAATAATTTGACGCCATTCTTCAGCTGTTTACAACCTGAAAGTTGATTAGTAAATGTACTTAGAATTTCGTTAAACTTGCAGTAATCAACATGATTTATGTTATCAGAAACATATCTTGATAAACAGTATTTAGAAATCCCACTTACATAACTTTTATAAATGAGGTCAAGATTCAAGCCATGTACTAACAAGCAAAATGGATGAGCGGATACATTGAAAATTGAGTTGCACAGTCAAGACAAGAGGAGATAATTTGATGATAAGTAATAGTGTGGTGAGTTAAGCTCAGATAATAAAAAAAGAAATAGAACACAAAGCAGAAGATAATGTAGTCAGTTTAGTAAGAGGGATTAGACGTTGAGTTACCAAGGCATAGAAAAACTGA